TGTCGTACGACATGCGAACGTAAACAAAGCTATCATCCACATATTGTGCTGCTGTACTGAGTAAGACATGTCTTCACGCCCCCCCCCCTTCCCTCTTCCAAAACACATCTACACAAATTGAAATACTATTGAGAACCTGATATCATGTTTATTTTTATCTGTACAAACCATTGTATGAGTTGCTGCCCCCTAGTGACGGGAGGCTTGTTATCATTCAGCAGTGGTACACTTATGACACCGTCCTCTGGAGACAAAAGGCCGTCTTTAAATCAATAAAAGTCTCTGATGAATAAAAAAACTTAAGGACACAAATAAACTGAAGCTGTTTGATGTTTTTAACAGACGGACGACAGAACAGAAAGTAACAGAGAAAAGAAAGACAACGACAGCCGCAACAAAACACACACACGGAAAAACGTTGACTCAAAGAAGAGGCGTGGAGATAAAACCAAAAATAAAGAATGGGTTTGTGCGCAGCAACTGGCCCTAGCGTGAGTGGACCCTCCAAAGACACCGTGTTACTCTGACATGATAAAAAAACAATCACGAAAGAACAAAAGTCAGTCTTTGGTGTTGACAAGGTCTACAGGGAGAGACAAGGTTTCTGTGAGAAAGACGACACTTTGTGTCAACTGATGGGGACATTTTTAAAAACGTAAGAAAAAACATCTGAGGCTCTACCTGTTGTATGTGTGCACACACACACACACTGACAGTTTTTACACACACACACAGATACACACATGCCCACAGATGCTTTTTGTACCAAAGCCAGAGTGAACGGAGCAGAGAGGTGAAGTCTGGTAGAGTCATCAGTTTAAAGCTGATGTTGTCCATTAAAGTCGAGGAGAACAGAACAGAAATCTCCTCCTCATGGCTTTCACTGCTGCTTTTCTTCGTCTTCTTTTGCTTTTCGGCGACAAAACCCCCCCCAAAAAACTGTGGTTATGGTTTGTTTTCTGCTTCGGTCACTTCCCACAATCTCTAACTGTCTAATTCAAAATCTCTTTGTTCCCTCCTTTCTTAGTGTCCCTACTTCCTTCCTACAGTCTTCCCTTTTCCAAACTGTCTGAGTCCTTTAAACACTGCGTCCATTTCCTCGATTATTTCCCTTCATTGTCTGCTAACACCGTCGTGTTAATTAGCAAAAGCTGTTGTACAAAATAACATTTTTAAAAACCTCGTTCTTTCTTTTTTTTTTCTCTTTCTTTCTCTAAACTGCTCCTAAAAAAGGATAAATCTTAACCAGATGATCCTTGGACTAAAGCATTTTCATACATGGGACGACGATGAAAGACAAAAAAATAAATAAAAAAAATAGAGAAGAAGAAAAATAAAGATTGTTTTATTTATTTGGAAAAAGATGTCAGTTAAGTTTTATGAAGGCTTAGAAGAAAAAGATGAAAAAAGTTACCATCAGACAGACACACAAATACACACAAAGGCACGCACACACACACACACACACAGATCTTGGCAGTCGATGAAAGTCTCCATACCAAACTTTCTCTTTTCACTGTTTTTCTTTCATTTTTTTTCGCCTTCACAGTCATTTCGTTCCAGCAGACTTGGCCCAACATCTGTCCTTTCCTTCCTGTTCTTTTTTCCCCCAGCCTCCTATCCTTCTTTTTCTTCTTTCACTCTATTAATTTCTCCTCTCTTTCCATCCCTAATCCTTTTCCTTTCTATTCTTACTCTGATTTGGTCCTTTTATTCTTAGTGTCCTTCCATTTTCTCTTTTGTTCTTCCATTCACCTTTCCTTCATTTCCTTCTATCCACCTTTTCTGAACCTTTCCCTCCATTTCCATCCTCAGTTCCCAGTATTTCTTTCTCTCCCAGACATAGGAGTCAGTAAACACACTCCCTCCATCACCTTTCTTTCAATTTTTCATCTTCTTTTCTAAGTCTATTCCTGTAAAAACAAGGCTTGAAAAAAGAAATCTCACCCCAGATTCCCTTCATTCCTCCAACTGTGATTCTATTCTATGTTCCTTAATTCATTCCTTTCTTCCTTTGATTTGACATTTTCATAAAAGAGAACGCACATGCAGAGTTTTTTGGCAAATGCCCACGCAAAGATGCCTGTGTGTGTGTGTGTGTGTCTAGCCAACACCTCACACATTCCTGCACTTGTGCCACTTGGGCTGGATTTAACCTGCTTTCCACCAGACCCGACTCTGACTTCTCCAAAATATGTTCCGTTTGCTTCGTACATATTGATAATGTCTGTGTTAAAATGAAGCCGCGTTTAATTGATTGAATTGATTTGACAAATATGAGATGGTAAGGTGCAACTACATGGGATTAATGACACTGCATGGAATAGAATACATATCTCCAGCTTCATTCAAAACCCATATTTTATTGATATTTTGTATTATCCATTGAATCTTTTATTTCATTTTTTACTTCTGCCGTGATTGGCTGTTGATTAGAGATAGTATCGATTCCAAGGTATCGATATAATCACATGTGTTTCGATTGAGTATCGATTACTCTCATGAAGTATCGATACTAATTAACAAATCTAAGGTTACTCCATCAGATATCAGATTGGACAGAATTTTAACCTTTATGAACAGGAGTGAAGTTGATCAAAAGATATGGAAAATATTACGATTTTTGTCGTGGAAATTTTTGTACAATTTAACCATTTACGTTACAAAAAGTAACGTCATTTGTTATGACACATAACAAGTTGTTAAATGGCCAGTACTTGTCGTGTGTTTTGATGAAGATTAAAAAACAAAAAAAAAATCACACATAGTAGCAAAAAAAAAAAAAAAATCACACAAAGTAGCGAAGAAAAAGCCAAATAAAGTAATCAGTATCGTGTTGAATCAAAAAAAATCTAGGGTCACCCATGGCTGATCTAAGAGGGGTTCCAACATGGGTCTGGGGTTAAAGTGTGTACAAAGTATCCTCCGTTGGATGAAACTGTTTTATAACAGTAGTTTTAGAATTTTTGTTTCCATCAAGAGTATCTTCAGATTTTACATGAACCCGTCAAACGCTGGATCAGACAAGAACAACCGTCGGCTTCAGTGACCACAACCACAGTGAGTGGGGAGACAAGAACAACCGTCGGCTTCAGTGAGCACAACCACAGTGAGTGGGGGAAAAAAAATGAATATTTCCTGAAACTGAACAAAGTGTATGAGCACAACACACACACATTAACACGTGCACACTTGCAGACTGGAGATTGCTAGGCTTGATTGACGGCTACAAGCTCCTGCGGACGGCTGGGAAAGTGATGCCGTTTATGGGAACAAGGAAAATACGACGAAAGGAAATGAGATTGAATACACTGAGGCAACAATGATGGATGGATGGCACACACACACACGGGCATACACACACGTAGAGCCGGCAGCCTGGTTCTAATTAAGTCATTTCTGCAGCTTTTACCAAATTTGGTCAAAGAAAACAATCATTCTTGTGCATTTCCAACACGACCATACATAAAAACGACGCTGGAATACGTTTGCACGCATGACATTTCTGAAATCATTTAATCTACAAATGTAGCTTGGACTTAAGTTTGAAGACGACTAAAATTTAAGATTTAAGGTTTACCATAAGACTATACAACAGTATATTACTGTACTTTTGTAAGTGCCCATAAGACTATACAACAGTATATTACTTTTGCAAGTGATAACGCTGTTTGTGAGTGCGGACAAACAATGCCAGTACCCACGATTCATGAGTGAGGTTTGGCCGATGGACGTGGTCGATGGTGTCTCCGTAAAGGCGTCGGTTTGAAGAGTAAGACGAGGAGGTGCTCCTCCTTATGTCCTTTCCCTTTCATCAATCTGAGCCCGTGGTGTCAAACTCATTTTGGTTCATGGGCCGTATACAACCTAATGACATGTCAGGTGGGCCGGACCAGTACAATCACACCATTAGAAATTGTAAATTAACACAAGCCTACGTTTTTCCCTTTTGTTTAGTCTATTAAATATTTATTCATATTTCATATAATAATAATAATTTTTAACATGAGGTGTTTTATTTTTTTATTTTCTAAATCAAAATCAACCGGGCCGGATTGAATATCACAGCGGGCCAGTTTTGGCCTGCGGGCCGCATGTTTGACACTCCTGGCCTAAGCCATTGAATGTACAATACTTAACATAAAATACCATGGGAGCGTTAAATATGTGTCTCGCCACACTGCAATATAGGTATTACCTCACTGACAACAGATGGAGAGCGATTAAAGGTAACACTTGTTTCATGAGAATGCGGGAAAATGTTTGTTTTTAAATTGGAAAAAACACGTTTTGGCAACCATACATCATTTTAGCCGCGTTTTTATCAAGTTTTTCTGCACATACTGCACAGTCGCATAGGACGTTTTCAAATCATTTCAAAAAATGTTTTAATAAACTTTGTTAGGTTTACTGAGAAAATAACAATGAAACTACTTCAAACATCAGTTCAAGCTTATTTAGGCCTTTGTTCTGCCACAGCCCTGAGAGTCTGAAGGTGAAAATAAGAAAACTGACAATTTCACTATATTCCATAATAGAGGTTTCATTTCCCAAAGGGACTCCCCAGGGAATTCCTAGAGTTCTACCTATCTATCTAAATGGAACAAACCTGCACATGTGTCTGTTTGTGTGTGTGTGTGTGTGTGTGTGTGTGTGTGTGTGGTTGGCTGATATGAGTGCAGTTCTTATAATGAGGGCATGGGGTGTAGAAAATTAAAACCGTCTGCATTCATTTTCTTTAAAAAAAAAAAAAAGTCCTGCAGCCTTCAATTAACCCTTTTAACCTACCACACACGCACACAGAAACACACACACTCACACAGAAACACACACACACAAAATAGCCACAGGCATCTGTGTGAAACCACATGGTTTCTAATGACGGCTGTTAGTCTGAATAATTAGTCCAGATGACAAACGTCCAACACAGGGAAAAAAAAATCTTACAATGCTGTTCTACAACATAAATCTAAGGAAGTAAACGTCTGATTGGTGCTCACCTGCTCAGTTTCCTGCTCCGCCACTGTGTGTGGACATCAAACTTCTAAATCTGTGGGGAAACAAATACATTGTTCAGGTACATAGATACTGGATATATATATATAAAAAAAACCAACCTGAAGGGTTTGTGTTCATGCTACTGCTACAGCGGTGTGGTCAGATATCACGAGTGTCAACGCCCCCTCCCTCCAGCAGTGAAAGGTGTTTGGCAGCAGCAGACGAGCAGCTAATTTGTATCTATGAGCTAAAAACACTGATTTCTTTCTATTGACAATTGAATAGTCAATAGAACTATTGACTAGAACTATACGGTTAACACTGTCCTATTGAGGTTTGACTGTTCAATGTCCACAGATTCGGTCCATGTGAAATGCCTAGATGTTGAGGAATTATTTTATTGCTCTTCCCAGAGCAGGGAGAAGTTTAAAAAAAATAAACCCTCAAGATGATAAATATTCAGGACTTGAGAATGTTGGGATGTTCCAACTTGTAATAAGGTTATAAAAGCTTCTGCTACACACAGGGATTAGTGACAGATTCTGTTCAAATTCCACATGCTAAAGAGATTGTCACCATAAATTGGAACTCACATTATGTCCCTCACCTACGCTAACACAGTGGTAACATCACGATCTAGGACATAGAAACATCAGTAGAGTCTGACTTATGCTTGGAAGCCCTAAAGAAGGGCATAAAAAATCAGTTCCCAAAAAATATCAACACAAATGAAAGAAAGCAAACGCAGCCCAATCCAGTGCGTCGCGTACAACCGGCAAATGTCAACAAAGCCATCATCTGCGTATACACCAACCTACAAGTTGCAGTGCAAAATTTGTTTCACCTACGCTAACACAGTGGTAACATCACGATCTAGGACATAGAAACATCAGTAGAGTCTGACTTATGCTTGGAAGCCCTAAAGAAGGGCAAAAAAAAATCAGTTCCCAAAAAATATCAACACAAATGAAAGAAAGCAAACGCAGCCCAATCCAGTGCGTCGCGTACAACCGGCAAATGTCAACAAAGCCATCATCTGCGTATACACCAACCTACAAGTTACAGTGCAAAATTTGTTTTAACATTAACACCAAACACTGGAATGATGCAACAACATTTTTTTTATAAATTTATAAGAGATGGCGACGTTCCCACGAAACACTACAGATTAAAGACATCATAAATGTAAGAATGGTGCCTCTTGTGGCAGCCAAATGTACAAAAAATATCCCGAACATGAAGTGTTTGTGTATTCATTTTTTTTCCCACAAAAAGTAAACTGAGTTACGTTACACCGTTGGAAAGGAGGTCTGACTAAGTCGAGGACGAGCGTGGAGCCTTCTTGGTGCGAAGTACTTCCCATCCAACAACATTTTGGTATGAGTTCCTCTCTTGTTCTAAATGATAGCCCGCAAAACCAGCAATATGTACACTGGTGAGCCAGTCAACGGTCAGGGAAAAACTGGCTGATTCCGGCCACGATCCGGTTGATTGGTGCATATCTTTTGTTATTTTCCAACACATAAACGTAAAGTTGTTCGTGCAGCCTTCATCTTCAGGCCAGACGCGTTTGACCAGCAAAACTTTACGCAGGGCAGGGAGTAAGTGGAAGTGACAAGCTGACTGACAACACACAAAAACACACACTGCTTCAGTTTTGCTAAGACACACACTTCCATTATTAAGGAAGGAAATGTGTGTATGTGTGAAATATGTGTGTGTGTTGACAGTGCATAACTTCATTCCACAGAGAAACCGAAACAACAAGCCACTCTCCTGTTCTAATTACTAACAGTTAACCATACACACACGCACACGCACACACACCTCACTGACCTTAGGTTCGTTAGAGTGAAAATGATATCAGTAGACAAGTATTATTTCTTGAAAGAGAAAGTAGAGTTTCTGATCATACAAGACCTCAAAACGTACGGTTTGTTTTCCACATCAACTATAAAATAGATCAGCTTGAAAACATCCTTAAATCACTGGACACAAACAGGCACAAACTCCCAGGATGACCAGCAGCGAGGTCTGACTCTAAAACATCTCACTCACAAAAACAAACACACCCAACTTCCTCTTGACCCAATTCCCAAACAGGACATAGTATCTCTCTTTTCTATTCCCTGTTCTTTCTCCATCTGGTTTGTGTTACAAGATTCCACACACACACAAACACACACAGAGAGAGAGAGAGAGAGAGAGAGAGAGAGGGAGAGAGAGAGAGTTCATTAGTACACTGATGAGGTCAGTGACCCACAGACTAAAAACCCTCTGTTTTTAGAACTGCTGTTCAGGCTCAAGTTCAAGGGTCAACCACTGCACGACTAACAGCCCATATAAGCACAGTCCCTACTCTTTACTTTGACTCATTAGAACTCATATCCCACAGTACAAAATATTCTGTGGCCCACTGGGATCAGGAATTCCGATGAATTCCTGTGCCCCTTACATAGGAATTCCGTTCCTGTGGTGCACTGTAACTCAACCTTCGCCGTGAGTCTGAACCCACACACTGTACATCAGTACCTGTGTAACTCCCCTACGCTAACGAGACATAATCTACGACATAAAAACATCAGAAAAGTCTGACATGCTCTTGGGAGACATAATGAAAGACAGAAAGGACAAAAAAAGAACAAATAAAGAAAGTGACGGTAGTTCCTAGCATGTCATGTATGGCATATAACAATATGAATGTAAACAAAGGCATCTTTAGAGCATAGCAGGAAATCTGTGTTAGTAAACCCCCAAATCACCAACACTAAAATCCACATACAAGGATGTGCCTGGACATGAGGTGCAGTGTCCCTACAGTCTGAAACAACTTCAAGATAAAGACAAGGGATGGTTCTGATCTAAAACTCAGGATCGATATCCAGTCCAACTTGGTCAAAATGTCAGTATCGAACATCAGAAAAAAAAAGCAGCCTGTACAATCCGATACCTAAGCCAATGCTCGACTTGGGTCGATATCAATATCGTCAGATACTCAGAGTTGCAGTATCCGTATCGGTCATGAAAACGTTGTACGGAGCCGTCCCTGTTAAAGACCAATATTGACATGTTTTGCAGCTCTAGCCAGAGTGAAACAGTGAAACCAGTAAATGCCTTTGTTTCTGCTTCAAAATCTAACAAAAGTGGCGTCTGGCAAGAGCCGCATTGGGAAAAGATTTCCTCAGTGCTGCATTCAGGCGTGATCAGATAAACAGATAATCTGGCCTTTTACTGCAGTATCCAACCAAACAGTGGGGATGTTAAACCAGCAACATAAACAGGGCACAAGAAACATTCAATGAATTTAAAACCATCAGTAAGAAAATAGGTCAGCGTGTGTGTCTACTGCAGACTCAATCACCTGTTCATCCATCGCTGTTCTCATACCTCGGCTTTTTTTTTTTCTTTCTTTCAATTTTTAAACCCATTCTCCACCAGCGTGTGTTCTCCATCTTTCTGTCAACTCAGGCGCCATCGAAATTTAAAATTCACAGGCTTCGTATAATATTCACTGAACTTTGAATTATATATACACATGGTGGTTCCACCTCTGTGTAGCATATATTAAGGTGTAATGAGGACGCGCCAGTGGAATATGAGCGGACACCGAATGACCTCCACAAAATGTTTGGACGTCTTTATGCATCGCTGCATGAAACTCATGGAAAAAAAGTAATGAATGTGACATAAATAAAGGCAAAAATACATATAAATATACATTCAAATCCATCAGAGATGTTGGAGGCAAATCGTTGACTTCAGTTTCCTTTCAAAAACGGTCTTCAGTTTCTAAAGGTATCATCGACTCTAGGTAACGTAGATTCCATCTGATGACATTGCTCTTCATTTTAAAATCTTTTTCATTGTTTCCTTGTTGGCAACTATGATGTTTTTTTACCAAGAGCCTCTGTGTGTGGGGGGCTTTTAAAAGCAGCAGGGGGCGCTCACAGCACTGTCAGTTTCTGTGGCAGAAGAAGAGTGAAGGCCTCACACTAGAACACTTCAAACAAAGCCCAGGCCGGGCGTTTAATATTCATGCTGTGACTGTGTTTAAGATAATCACCAGTTACAGGAACTTCTTCCTGTATCAGCTGGATTAGATGACTTCCTGTTTGCTTTTCAACAGTCCTGTGTTTGTATATTTAAAGCCTGAATCACTCATCCAACAGGCTTATGTTGTTTTGCCATGGCTCTGCTCCATCAGAATAAACAGTTTTTTTATGAGAGTTTCCTGCAATCTTTTCCCCGAACACATAAAACAAGAGGTAGAGTTCAGGAGTAGATTTAAATATAAAAGCCTATTACGACAATATGTGGGACAAAATGTCTACCTCTACAGAGCATGGAACTAAGACAGTGAAAATTTGACAAACAAATGTTTCCTTTACGTTTGTTTCTCGGTTAATAACATGTTAATGACGCTGTGAATTAAACCAGATTGGTATAAAAAGCAACAACACTCAATAACTGTACACTGCACACTGACCAATATGAATAGCTAATATTGTTAGCATAATGAGGGTAATTTTGTACTACACTGTTATGTTTTTCATAATGTCTTTTTTAATGTACGATGTTTTTTCCCTCTTTAAAAAAAAATTAATTTTCAAATCAGAGTTAGTTCTGGTCTTTGGACCAATCCTTGACTTCACTGCTCAGCCACACAGCCTTTCTCAGCAACTGTTCAAACAACCCACAGTCCAAAGGGGAAAATAAGTGGAACACAAGAGCTACTACTTCCTGTGGTTCGTTGAAGTCACTTAGGTGAAGCTGAACAGCAAAAGCTCTTAGAGTGAAGTCACGACGTAACACATTTGAATTGCTCTGTTGTGAGACAAAATCACTGATTTTCTCTGAGGGATTTGGTGCCGAGAGCAAAAGGAAAGCGAAAGAAAAAAAAGAAAAGTGGGATGTTCCAGATGTCTAACCTTTGTGGGTCAATAAATATCAAGAGACTTGTTATGTTTAACATGCAGAATGTTGACCTTCTCACCTTTTGGTGGGTCAACGGGGACAAAACAAACCCTGAAAATGGACTCCTACACACACTTC